ATTATACAATTCTAAATAAAAAGATTATTATTAAGTAAATATTTTTAAATATCCTAATTTATATGAAAAAAACTATAAATTTAGATAAAATTAATAACAAATCCATAGCTTAACCAAAAAACACTGATGGCATATCCTCAATCCCTTGTACCATCCAAGTATCTAACCATCTTGCTTTGCAGTATTTTACTGCAAAACAGCACCGGGCTGACACAGTTTTTTCAAAAGTTGTTGCTTTCTTGTCTGCTTAAACCCAAATAATTACTGATGAAAAAAGTTTTAGGCTTTTAGCTCCAGAAATGGGTTTTGGATGTCGTTTGTGTACCTAGAAGCTAGAAGGGCTAGAGCAGTGGGTTTATTTGGACTTCCCTCAATTTGTATAGCCCAAAGTTGTCACCTTTCTTCCCCGCAACTTCACGTTTTTCGGGCGCCGCCTTCTGGTTTTCGACTCCAATCTGGTACACTACTGAACCCAAGTTTTTTAATCACTGTTAATTTCTCAAACTCAGCTTTAAAATCTCAAATGTTTTATGTGTAATGGGATATATTTTTTGCTTTTTCTTTGGTATACTAGTTGTTGATCGTTGAAATGTGTTTTAATTAGTGGTTGTTGGATGACTCCTTTGGTGCCCATAAGATGTTTGTTAAAGTTCCTATTAGAACTTGCTATGTAATTTTTTTGTCAACTTGAACATGGCGAAATCGAAATTCAATGCTTAAGAGATTCGTTATGGTATTATGGATGATTTTTCATTCAGTCAGATGGGAAAGAAACTGGCTTGGGTTTTCCAATGTTTTTGGACATGAGTGTTCAAGTCAAGTTTACTGGCCATTAGTCTCTTTTGCACAAAATATGATAAGTGCTTGCTGTATTAATTTTTTCCTTTAATAGAAATTGGCTTGCAAAGAAATTGCTAGATTATAATTTAAAAATATGGTTGATGTTTCAATATAGGCATGAAAAATACAGCTTAGAGTTAGTGCCTTAAAGTAGATTACAGTGAAGATCACTTGTGAAAATGATGAATATTTATCAGTTGGTTGGATGGGCAAAGTTAAGTCAATAAATGGAAGAAAGGGCAAGGGTGAGTGTTTTTTTTTTTAATAAGATTTGATAATTAGTTGACTTAGAAATTCGTTTATTCCTTGTCTAAACCAGAATTTTTGTTATGTTAATGTCCTGTCAACAAATCATACATTGCATAATATTAGGAAGGTTATTTTTACTTAACAGCTCTACAACCTTGGTATTGCCATATAATGCTATTTTTGGTCTATCTCATCTGGTGATGAGTGCCAGCACAGAACATTTAAAGGACTTTAAACTGTCTGATCTTTTGTTAGAAATTTCTTGAAGATAAATTAATTCATTTTATTTCCAATAATTGGTTACCTATATGGAAGCATTCTAATGTGTATTTCTAGAGAGTAGAGAGACTAATTGAGATTTCATGTCTTAAGGATTGTATCAGTGTGTGTGCTATCCTTGCACATTGTTTGAGCTACTTGTCTACTAATTTTGTGTATATCTTTTCTGTGCTGGGAAAAAAGGTCGTATGGAGGAGTGTTACGTTTTTTTCCCCTTTTTTTCTAATATTGTTATCTCACAATTCTAAAATTGTGATCCTGGTTGTTGGCTTAATCTCTTTTTATGGAAATAGTTCTTGGTTTGATCACTGTCTCAAAATGTATTAGTTCGTAACTCTCTTTTTTTACAAGAATATGTTGATGTCTGATGATCAGAATTTCTGAGTTATTGGTATTTTGATGTTGATGGTGGAATCATTCTAGCTTCATGTTGAACATCCACATTGTGTCAAGCCTTATCATTATCAATATGCTTGTTTTTTCCCATTTCATAGAAGTTATTGTCTTGGTTTTATGCAAACTACATCGGGTATTATTAGGTTCTTATTGAATTTCACTTTGTTTAATCAATTTACGTTGTGAATGGGACAATAGTGAATGGACTCAATACTTCTTTTGCAGCAAGAACTTTCTGATGCAGTTTTTGCTTCTTTTTTTTTTTATTTTTTATTTTTATTTTCTTCCAAAAAGATAACAAATGTGTATGTCGTCTTATAGATACATTTCTGTGAGGTTAAAAGAAAAAGTGACAAGAAGAAAGAGGTGAATCTCAGAAACAAAAGGAATATAGATATTTCTTCATTACCCATCAATGCTTAAGAAGCTCAACAAAATCACTAGGCTCAATCTTGGGCATTCTATTTCCATCTCCACAGCATTTAAACCATACTCAATCCTTCCCTTAAACCCTAATGCAAACCCCACAGAACCCTTAACGAAACCCCAGCTCAAGAGCCTGGTTCTCACCCAATACTCCCATGGAAACTTCTCCAACCTTGTCCAGAATGTCATTGCTTTGCCCTCTGTCCTCCTCACTGCCTGCCAAAACCTCACCAGCTCTGGCAACCCAACACCTGAGACATCTCAGTTGCTTCCTCATTTTCTGGATTCTGTCTCCAAACACTTCTCCATAATTGAAATGAGTAGTGAAATTAGAGAAAATCAATTTGATATTGAGTCATGCTGTGTCAAAATGACACAATCAAGGGATAAAGGTGAGCCTCTGGTTCTGCCCAATTTGAAATTAAAGGTCTTGATTGAAGCTATCAGGGTGGTATTAGAAATTGTCTATGATGAACGGTTTGTCACATTTTCTTATGGGGGTCGTGTTGGTATGGGAAGGCATACTGCAATTAGGTACCTTAAAAACTCTGTACAGAATCCGAGTTGGTGGTTTAGTGTTTTGTTTAAGCGTGAGAACTTTCAGAAGTGTAACATAGATAAATTGTGTTTGTTTATTGAGGAGAAAATTAAGGATATGATGTTGATGGATATGCTCAAGAGGTTGTTTGAATGTGAAGTAGTAAGAATTGAACTGGGTGGGTGTTATTTAGGAAGAGGATTTCCTCAAGAATCTGGCTTGTGTTCAATTTTGATTAATATTTACTTTGATAGTTTGGATAGAGAGATCCAAGAAATGCGCCTTAAAATGAATCAGAATAATTCCATATTTGATTCAAATGAGCTTGTTTCCACCTCAAATGTCTTTTATAAGCCAGAAAAAATATATGCTGTAAGGTACTTGGATGAGATATTGGTCATAACATCAGGGTCTAAGATGTCAATATTGGATTTGAAGAACCAGATCTTGAAATTTTTGGAGGTGAATTTGGATTTGAAGGTTGATAGAGTAAAAACAGCTATCCATAGTGCTGTCTCAGAGAAAATTAACTTCTTAGGGATGGAATTGCAAGCTGTTTCACCTTCAGTTTTGCATCCCTCTATGTCAGAGAAAGCAATTAGAGCAAGGAAGAAGTATCTCAGACAGAAGGAAGTTAGAGCTTTGGAATTGAGAAATGCTCGGGAGAGGAATCGGAGGAAATTGGGTTTGAAAATATTGAAACATGTTTTTAAGAAGTTGAAGCAGAGTAATGGGTTTAAATTTGAATTTCAAATTGAGAATGAAGTTAGAGAAATCTTTAGGACATGGGCAGATGAAGTGGTCCAAGAGTTTCTGGGATCCTTGGAAGAACGATGGAACTGGCACAGGCTTCTTTCTAGAGGTGATTTTCTCTCTTTAAGGCACATCAGGGATCAGTTGCCACGAGATCTTGTTGATGCTTATGACAGATTCCAAGAGCAAGTGGACAAGCATCTGGCTCCTGTCAAAGCTAGAAAGATGATAGAGGAAGCAGAAAAGAAAGTTGAAGAAGAAGAGGAACAGAAATATGCTCAGAGCACAGTGGAGGATCTGACAAAGCTGTGTATGAAGGTATCTGCTCCCATTGAACTTGTTCGGAAGGCTGTGAAAATGGCTGGCTTTACAAATAATATGGGTCGTCCCAGGCCAATCAGCTTACTTGTTGTTTTGGAAGATGCTGACATTATTAAGTGGTACACAGGCATTGGGAGAAGATGGCTTGATTTCTTTTGTTGCTGTCACAATTTCAAGATGGTTAAAACAATTGTTACCTATCACCTGAGGTTCTCTTGTATTTTGACATTAGCAGAAAAGCATGAATCCACCAAACGAGAAACAATGAAACATTACACTAAAGATTTGAAGGTATCTGATTTGGATGGAAATGAAGAATTGTACTTTCCCACAGAGAGGGACGTTAAGATGATGGGTGATAAAAATCTTTCTGACCCAAAACCTGTGGATGGGGCTCTTTTGTTGGCTTTGACCAGATTGGCTTATGGTGAGCAATTACATTCTTGCATTGCACATTTCTGTGACAGACAAGGTACAATACTCTACAGGGTAAGATTACTGCAAAGCAGTTTAAATGTTAATTCATTGAATGAAGTGCAGTGGATCCAGGGTATGGGTGCAATTCATGAAAGCCTGAATCAGAAATGTCTTCCACTCTGTGCCAATCACATAAACGATTTATATATGGGGAAAATCACCCTTCAGGATATTGACTGCACATCATTTGTGGATGTGGACTGAGTTGTCTCTCCTTTGTATTTTGAATGTGATTGATTTTGAATAGTAATTTTCCTAAAAATGATCTCAAGCAGAATTTACGGAGTCATTGATCACTTCTTTTATTGAAAGTTAAACCAGGTAAGTCAGCATCCACATTTTCCCATTTTGGTTGATTATTACTATTTTTTTTTGATTGACCATTTTGGTTGATATTCTAGAGGGCTTAGGTGAAGCATTATCTTATACAATAAAATTTTGGGATAAGTCAGAATTTCAACAGAGATAATAAGTCAAATATTATCAATTTTTGTGGTTACTACTCTCTTAAGAATTTTTTCTTTTGGCTATTATCCATTAAAAAAAATAATTGTTTGGCTTATAGAGCTTGGAGATGGTTGGTGGAAGCCTATACAAAAATATTTTTATGCTTTTATTGTATGTGCAGTGGTGCTTTGCTCTGTTACATGGATCAACCAGGAGTATTGGTTGAAAATTCAGTTTTAATACTGTACAGGTGAATAGATGTGGACCTTGCTGATACTGAAAATTTTTTACATGCCAAATAATTCAAAGAGAGAGTGAGATACAGATTATATTGAGGGTTTCTTTGCACAGGTGCAGATTATATTTTCTAAATACATGTGAAAGAATACATCGGGAGTGTGAGAGACAAAAAACGTTGATTCAATTAATCTTGATGCTTTCATTATGGGGAGCAACACTATTCTCTCTTACATGTACACTTGCCATTCAGTCCAATCTGCATTTGGATTATATATAATATATATACGCCCTTCATTGTTCAATTTTACATAGGAATATATTTTGTTGTTCATATCACATTGTACAAAAAAAAAATGTTGTAGAAAAAAATTGTCGCTAAATCATTGTGGTAATTCATAGCTATTCTGTAGGTTA